GGGGATGGGAGTCAGCCCAGCTGGGTTGACTTCCCAACCCCTGTGCTAGATCCCCATCACTGGCGCTAGATCGCACTGGGGTGGAAGGCAGCTCAGCTGGACTGCTTCCTCATCCCTGGTGCTAGATTGCATTGGGGGCAGGAGGCAACCCAGCTGGGCTGCTTTCTCATCCCCTGTGCTAGATCACATGGGGGGCGGGAGCCTGCCTGATCTAGTGCCGGGGATGGGAAAGCAGCCCAACTGGGCGGCCTCCTGCCCCAGCGCAATCTAGCACTGGGGATGGGAAGTCAGTCCAACTGGGCTGATTTCCATCCCCAGCAAAACATTGAAACAGCTTCGAAACAGCCTTTTTGCTTTGATGGAACAAAACAGAACAGCTATTTCAACTCTAAATGAAATTTGAAACAGAATGCTGTTCTGTCGAACCGTCAAAACTGAACGCAAAATGGAATGGTGCTGTTTACTACAGCCCTAATAGACACCTACCCACTACTCTCCTGATTCCCTCTTTTATGCACAAAGGTAATGCCACTATTTTCTCAAAGGATAGAAAAGGATCAACAAGTTATTCATTCTTCTCTGTCATCCCCAGAGTGATGTTATTGTTTTACATGTTACTTAGCATTTAAATATTAATAAGAAATGAGCTTCTGTAGCCCTTCAATGGGACTAAAATGTTCAGATTTGCAGTATTTGGATACAGGATTATTGTTGCTCATAGAAGACACATCCTAGTAAGCTCAGTGTGTCACAAGACCAGTACAGTGGGGCTTCAAATCAACTGTAAGGGGACTGAAGAGAATTTTCAAGGCATGGGGCAGTCTTGATTTAGCATTATACCAGTCCTACTTGGCACAGAGGACATAGCAGCAGCTGCTGTGGACAGGCCAGTGGTTTCCCACAATGGGGAGAGTTTTGATGAAGCCTGAAGTGAAGGGTGCTGGAGTCATCTGCTACTCTCTGTGCGGGCCGGGCGCGCCCCGAGCCCTTTTTCGCGCTGCACGCGGGCTGTGGCCAGCAGCCCGGGCACGCGGGGGCGGAGAGGGGTGGCTTTTGCTCTGGAATTAGGCACGGACGCGTATCGGTAGTTTAAAAGATTGTTTACTTACACCGAGATGGCAGTGGTGTAGGCTGGAAAGCTTGCTTCAGTTGCAGTTACAGAGAAGAAAAAGGAAAGAGGCGGACAAGAGTTCTAGACTCGTGAACTCTAGCCCAATCCGGCTGAAGGCTCTGAACACGCGAGCCCGTCGCGTCAGCCGAAGAAAGTACTCATCTGGAAGAGCTCTGAACCAACTCACACGAAGTTTGCTAGGCTCCGTGGGTCCAGTTCTTTTGCGCGCGGGTG